TAACTTAAATAATAACTGAATGAACTTGTATTCAATGATAAAAGTGAAATCTCAGAGAACGGTATCTGAAGGCATTCTCATTAATGCCACTGCATTCCATTGAATAGAAAATCGTTCTATAATCGTTCTTTCGTCCTTCATAAAAGAAACCTTGCATCATTGATATAGACCAATGGATCTATTATTTTCTATACAGACATGATATAACTCACCTATACATATGGGAAAAGAATAACGATAACTCCAAACCGCCAGCCTCGACAGTCCTTCTGGCATCACGTGCTCGCTCACACCACACATTCACACACACATACAACTCTCATTTTCATACCTATAAATAAAGTAAACTAACAGTCTCGACTCAATAACGTGTTCATCGAGATGGATCAGTGGTACGGTAAACTGAGTGTAGTGACCGGCGCCAGTTCCGGAATTGGGGAGTCCATCACCACAGCTTTGTTAAAAAATGGTGTCAACGTGGTGGGATTAGCTAGAAGATTGGAGAACATGAGAGAATTGAAGGAACGTATGAAAGATGCGAAGGGGACTTTTTATCCGGTTCAATGTGACCTCAGCAGAGAGCAGGATATTCTGAATGCATTTAAAATAGTCGAAAAGCTTGGAGGCCCGGATATTTTAGTCAACAATGCTGCGTTGCTCTACAGCGGACCTATTTCAGGTTTAATATTATTCAATTGGTAGCTTTTTATTGTTTTTTCTCGTTGAATGAGGTTGCGTATAGTGGAAATACGTAAAATATGTTATTATGCAGTTGATTCGGAATCAGTCAGCCAGTCCCACGTTCCCTTCCTTTAACAGCCATGTTGTCCTATTCATTAATTGTACTTCACGTTAAAAGGAGGGAAGAAGTATTGCGAAAGTGAAAATTAATTTTCAACTTAAAAAGTCTGAATTGCAAACAAAGAAGAAATATTCCTCGGTACTGATAAATATTAATTAATACACAAAAGTATATTATGTTGAAATATTAAATAAATCTATACAATGTAAAAGGTAATTAATTTAACTACAATGACGTATTGCAAATCAGCTTATAGAACGTTTATTAAATAACATAAGAATTATAATTTACATAGTTCAAAATGATTTGTGTAAAAAGATTTTGTTTTTTTAGTTAATCTTCCAGCTTATTTTATAATCTTATGTTTTAGTACAACATATGTACATCTTAAAAATCCTTGAGTTTATTATTCATGTCTCGAAGTCCGATACGTATGCGCGTTTGGATAAGACAAAAAATAACTTGCAATGCGGTATTTTTAATTCTAAACTCAGTTAGTTTTTTTGTTAACTATTTTTACCTGGACGAAAATGATATGTATCTATGTCTGTGAGTAGAACAGTGGGTACCAGCGTTCGTATAATTTTTCCCTCGGCCGGAAAGTGGGGACGACGCGACCATGGTGGGGACTGGTACTTGATGGGGGTATGCTAGGCATAGTCAGCGATGGCGCATGGGGAGAATAGTAGTGGGGATCGAAATACGGGTGAAAAAGAGTGGAAGGGAGCCGTGCGGGAAAAATTATACGAACGCTGGTGGGTACATTATGTATTTCCATATACGTTCTATTTTGTTTAGACGCCGCTACGAATGAAATGAAGATGATTCTAGACGTAAACGTGTTGGCCGTGGCCATGTGTTCACGAGAAGCAATAAAATCATTGAAAGAACGAGGAGCACAAGGACATATCGTTAACATAAATAGGTGCTGCTTTTTACGATAGAAGTCTTATGTAATATCGTTAAATATGTAAGATCGTTGTACAACATTTTATCGTATTTCTAATTATTTGGACCCTGCTTTATGAATTAGAATTTTTTATTTTAAATACTTGTATCAAATAATATAACAAATAATTGTTGATACCAAAAGATTATTTACAGTAGAATAGTAATAAATTATACAAGATTAATGTACTATAATGTAAAATACAGAAGATAAATATTCTCTTCTTTACATGTTTTTAATTATATTCTTTAAACTGGTACCAGAAATATTTTATTATACATAAAAGTTATCAGTCTGTTTGTTAAACATATCTAAATGACACATTATAATTACATACTTCGTATGATAAATTATATACATACATATACTAAAGATATATGTATGTATTAATAAATAAATTGTCTTCATGGTATGAGTCGACTGTAATTAGAAATAAGTTGTTGCGTGACTGGTAACTTTTACGTAGTGTACATAGTCATGTAGCCACGAATATCAACTTCAATTCTTTCCATTGTTTTGTATACGCCATTTAGTGACTTATTAAACAAAATCAAGTGGTTTAGTTCGATTTTAAAAACATTTGACGACCCAAAAATCTTCTTATACATATAAGGACGAAGTGTAGTCTCGTAAATTCATATTTTCCACAATATTTGCCTGGTTATTGATAAAAAAGAGTAAAAAACGTTCAAATACCGAATATTGTTAGAAATGTCCCGTGACTACTCTAGTCTTACATTAGAACTAGTAAACTAGTTCAAATGACTGGTTTTGAATGGAAATGGATAGATAAAAGAAGGTCGTTAATTCTAGTGTTAAACACAAAAATGATCATGATTAAGTTACAGCATGTCGTGAAAAATAATTTATCGCCTATCATTGGATGATGAGCAAGTTGTATTATACAAAATACAAATGCAGTGCAGTCATCGTCACTATTTGTAAAGATACAATGATTAATAGTTCCTATGACTTGCATGTTTACGTAGCATTGCAAAAGAGCAGAAACTGCAATGAGTCTTCATCTGCATTTAAACTGCATCAATCTGTCCTGAGACATCTTTTTCCACGTTCATGAAACTACAGTTTTACTGCCTGAGATGATTTATAAAATCGAAGAAGTCGATCGTATCTCTAATTATCAAAATTATGAGTTTAGGGTAACACTGTCTCTTTCAGATAAGCAAACTCGAGTAGGCATAATATAATTTTATTTAACGTTATTAATTTCAATAGCTGATGCGCACACTTGATCATACATTATACTTTTACACTTCAGCCATTAAAGAAAACGATTCTCTCTTTCTACCGATTCACACTTCACACACACGCATCCAGGGTGCATACAGGGTGTTTCAGAAAAAGTGCTAGAACCGAAAAGAGGTGATTCTAAAAGTATTTCTAAACAATTTCCAAAACCATGAAAAACCATGCTTCATTTTGCATTTTGCCAAAGGAAATTGTTGTTTAGAAATTTACGTTTAGAATCACTTCTCTTCGGTTCAGACACTTTTTCTGGTACACCCTGTATATTGAAACTTCTCAACGCTAATGACAATGTTTAGTTTTTGCATTGCTCGTTCGTTTGTTTCAGGTTCATGAATTAACTATTTTAGCACTTCACGGGAAATAAAAAAATTAATCCATGCATCTGTTGTGCAAGGAAGAAAGTTTACAAGATTATTTGTAGTGGAATAGAAATAAAATGGGCAAGATTATTTACAGTAGAATAGTAATAAATTATACAAGGTTAATGTACTATAATGTAAAATACAGAAGATAAATATTCTCTTCTTTACATGTTTTTAATTATATTCTTTAAACTGGTACCAGAAATATTTTATTATACATAAAAGTTATCAGTCTGTTTGTTAAACATATCTAAATGACACATTATAATTACATACTTCGTATGATAAATTATATACATACATATACTAAAGATATATGTATGTATTAATAAATAAATTGTCTTCATGGTATGAGTCGACTGTAATTAGAAATAAGTTGTTGCGTGACTGGTAACTTTTACGTAGTGTACATAGTCATGTAGCCACGAATATCAACTTCAATTCTTTCCATTGTTTTGTATACGCCATTTAGTGACTTATTAAACAAAATCAAGTGGTTTAGTTCGATTTTAAAAACATTTGACGACCCAAAAATCTTCTTATACATATAAGGACGAAGTGTAGTCTCGTAAATTCATATTTTCCACAATATTTGCCTGGTTATTGATAAAAAAGAGTAAAAAACGTTCAAATACCGAATATTGTTAGAAATGTCCCGTGACTACTCTAGTCTTACATTAGAACTAGTAAACTAGTTCAAATGACTGGTTTTGAATGGAAATGGATAGATAAAAGAAGGTCGTTAATTCTAGTGTTAAACACAAAAATGATCATGATTAAGTTACAGCATGTCGTGAAAAATAATTTATCGCCTATCATTGGATGATGAGCAAGTTGTATTATACAAAATACAAATGCAGTGCAGTCATCGTCACTATTTGTAAAGATACAATGATTAATAGTTCCTATGACTTGCATGTTTACGTAGCATTGCAAAAGAGCAGAAACTGCAATGAGTCTTCATCTGCATTTAAACTGCATCAATCTGTCCTGAGACATCTTTTTCCACGTTCATGAAACTACAGTTTTACTGCCTGAGATGATTGTAAACGAAGTTAGTAAATTGGAGACAATCCGAAATAAATTGAACTAGATACCAATTCTGTTCGCATTAGAGTACTTATTTCATTTAGACGCTATTTAGAAGCCTACGTATATTCTGTATCCAAGAAAAGAATTATTTAATCGTATGGGTGAAAGGAAAATGTTTAATAAAAGATTTTTAACAATTCTTTTAACAATCTGTATTTTTAAGCTTGACTTTCCATTAATTAAGACTTAACGACACCTTGACAGTTTAGAATAATGTTGAGGATATTGCTTTTGCTTATGTTTTAGTATTTCTCCTTAGAAATAAATATTAACACTTGTCCCTGAGTTCTATTTATACATAATATACATTCGCGATTGGACATTTAAAATAGGCCATACTTTAGAGAAGAGATTATTAGTATATCTCCTCGGTAATTTGCTATAATTTTCTCTTCAGCCCCCACTCCTTCCCCACCAATTCTGATTACGTACTCCATATAGCAACGCTGCTCTCATGTGTAGTCAGTCAGTCTTTGACAGTTCTCTCAGCAAGATGAACCGTTGGACCGGGAAAGTAGCAGTAGTGACAGGCGCGAGTGGCGGTATCGGTGCCGCAATTTCGCGGGCTCTCGTGAAGAACGGCGTCAAGGTGGTCGGTCTCGCGAGAAGAGTAGACAAGCTCTCCGAACTTCACAAGGAGCTGGGCAAGGGGAAATTTTATCCGCTCGAATGCGACGTTAGGAAGGAAGAAGACATCCTTAAGGTGTTCCAATGGGTCCAGAAGGAACTCGGTGGTGTTGACATTCTGGTGAACAATGCCGGGGTCATCAGCGGCATGCCTGTTATCGGTGAACAATTTAACTATGTTACGCAGGGTGGTTCACCTAACTGGGAACAATTATCTCATTCATTTATGACGATAGGAAAATTATTTTGTATGATATTTAAATGGTATCAAAAGAATGCTCTGCAACAGTTCTCTCCTTCTTGTTTCTTTCGAAAAAGTAGATTTTTATGCAGAATATAAAATATTTATGCTGCCAGTTTACAAAATGTATGAGATAAATTTTATGACATAGTAATATAAAATATTATTGCTAGATATTAAAATTAATTGTATAACTATTTCATGAAATTTCTCATCACTGATTTTAAATCTCTATATTTACTGTAGGGTAGATGTACCATTTGTGGCCACTTGAACAGTTTTCGTACCATTCAGTAACATGTACACTGTACATCTTGTTTTCGAAACGTGTTATCTGTTAAAAACAGTCATTCTCAATATTTAATTTCATAAAGAATTTACTTGTATAATCATGTTAAAGTGTAAAGATAAAGTTAAGATTAAGTTAAGTGTAAAGTGTAAAGAATTGACGCCAGATTATTAATAGAAATAGCAACTCATCGAGCGAGTACGAAATCTTTTCCAATAAACGCACTTAAAAACGAGAAATAAAAAAGAAGAGAAATATTATTATTTGTTTACAGAGTTTTTATCAAATTGTAGTAAGCCTACGTAACTACAAGTCATGTGATTACTCGTTTAGTTTTGTTTTTACGAACAACATTTCTATTAATAAACTAATATTACGAAGTAGCAGTAGAGTGGTTGTATTTGTATGTATAGTTCTGACTGCCGCGTTAACAGTTCTCAAGGTAAAGATTATCACGCGTATCACAAATGTGCTGACTAATCTTCTTCAGTTCAATATCAATGCTGTAGTGAATTATGTAACAATATACAGTTTTATATATCTGACTGTTAGTATTATAGAAAAATAAGCCAATGAATAGAAATTTATATATTCTGTTAAAAAAATTAAGTCAGGGAATAGAATTAGGTTCCTTAAAACTATCAAAAAAGAAGCCAGTAAAATGCTGAATTTTATATGAGAATTATACATGTGAGAGTAATTGATTTCAGAATTTATGAGAGTAATTCATATGAGAATTTTATATCTACAAGTGAAGAACAATGACCTAGTAAATATAAATCGTTACGTGAACAACAATTCGGACATTTACTATAAATGTTGCTGCTGTAAAAACTTCCAATTATATTAGCAGTATCACTTCTTCTGTGAATAGCCTAACATAAAACTGTATTAATTGTTGTACTTTATAATTTCGAATAATTAATAACAACAAAGCTCTAATATCTGAACGTGACTTTGAACATGCATGTTTGTTAATTATCCGATTGCACAACTTCCTATGTTGCGATTGCAATAAAGTACAAAGAGGATGCCTGCACGTACAAATCGCAAGTCATGTTCCGACCACAAACAGGATGAGATGTTAACTGACAATGAGATCAGTATAGTATAAAAGTAGTGTACAAAAACTGTATTGTGACATTAAAGCATTAAGAAAGTACAGAGGAAACAATTAATATTCACGAAAGAAATTCAAAATGTCGAATTTACGTGTAAAAATAAGGTACGCGGTGCCCGACGGTAATGCTTCTCCCTGACGGGCCTCAAACTTGCCTTCGCTACCGCGCCCCTTGATAGAAACTTGCTTCGTCAACGCTAGAACTTTTTTTTATATATTAAATTATTTTTATTGTACTGTATACGATTTATTTTTATGTGGATTTCCTTATATGTATGTATGAATCGTTGCTATATATTTCATCTGCATTCTTGTATTTTAACATTGTGTATCAAACAATGTTACTTTAAATTACAATTTTTATATATTGAGATATAATATACCAGATATCTTGTATATTGAGAACATAGAATCATATTAATGAATCTTTCCTACTAGGGCGGATTAAACGTGGAGTTTAGCAGGGGTTTTAACCCCGGGCCCTAACATCCAAATGGCCCCGTGAGCTCGAATAAGAAAATATATTGCGCACACATAATTTAATTTGTAGTTTTTAATATATAAGTAGAAAAAATATTTACGATAGCAAATTGAAAAAATAATAACATAGTTTTTATTTATATTTACAAAATGATCATTTTTTAGGGCCCTTAATTGGGCCTCATATTCATTTTAGCCTCGGGCCTCGTGAATCTTTAATCCGTCCCTGTTTCAAACTACTTACTTGATCCACTGTTGTACGAAACTTCGTGCGTGCAGCGAGAGATCGTATGACAGAGAAATATTCTCCAAACTCGTTTTTCGGCGGTCATCGACCGCAACTGCGTTACTGCGGTGGCCTTCATTTTCATGTACTTACCATACATGCTGACTGCTGACTACAAAAGTGTTTCAATATTCGTTCAACCACAGGTACCGTTTCAGAAAGAGGAAAATCGAATCTGGCGCGTTCTGATCATTATTTAATCAGAATATGCTGATATTTAGTAATATGAGCGTTATAATATGGTTGAAAGATCGTAGTTATAATGCCTGCGTTCATAACCGATTTTCTATTCAAAACAGATTGTTTTCATTGAAATAATGACTGAATAATGATAAGTGTATTCCTGAAAACCCACATTTTTGGCCAATTTTGTGGATAACATTGACAGTCTATCTTATCGCGTAGCATGAAATAAATACCCGTCTATTTATATTCCATTTGTTAAACTAGTATGATAAATGTTCTGTTTTACATAAAAGTCCACAGTCTATTCATGACCTGGCATAAAAGTCCACAGTCTATTCATGACCTGGCATCGCGTAATCGTACAAAATATAAAATGGATTCCAGATACCAGTCGTTAAAACAAATCTCATCGCGTTGTAGTATATGTAAGACGTTTAAGAAAAATGAAATGCAGGAAAACATAAATCTTTTAGATAAATGAAAATCTCAATGTTCATCTTTATAATCGGTTTTTATAGAATCTTTTGTTGTTTCAATGAATTCAAGGACATTTAAAATGACATAATTCGAGATCTACTTAATTTGATGCTGTGTACTAGTAATCAGTTTTACTTCGCAGCAAATTAAATAACAGTATCGTTAAAATCGCGTGCACTAGGAAAATCAATTATAATATTCCTGTTGCAGACTCACCAACCGAAGAAATCCTCAAGGTCATTGAGACGAACCTAATAGCTCCTACACTTTGTGCACGAGAAGCTATCCAATCGATGAAAAAGCGCAAGGCACCCGGTCACGTAATCAACATCAACAGGTAATTCTACAAATAGTAGAAGGAAATACACAGCAGATGTTTCTAGTAAAATACTACAACTTCCTCCTCTTTGATTTTGTTCGTTTAACGTTTACGAAAAAAACGATGTCTAAATTATCATGAACACCCTGTATATACGTGTGTACATGTACATAATTAATCATTTGAAATAAAATATACCCAGTCCTACTGTACTTTCTACAATTTTATACAAAATTTTATACAATTTCTATATAACGTTTACATACAACCATTTAATTACAGCGTAGCCGGATCATACGCAGAGACTTTACCAGTTCCATTGGGCATGTACTGCCCCAGTAAATACGGTCTGAGAGCTTTGGGCACGGAACTTCGTCATGAAATCGTCCTCGGCAAGTTGAACGTCAAGATCACGGTAAGAAATTACGATGCGGAATTATTACATTCTTTCTTTCCCGAATTATATATTTTGATTGATTTGAATCTCGAAATTGTAAAGAATCCGTCTTATCCTAATCATCGAGTTTTCGTACGCCTCTAATAAAATCTTCTGTTTGTTCCGACAGAACATTAGCCCTGGTGCTGTGTCGACAGACATGTTCAATAGTCTGGCTCCGGCGGCAGGATTCGCAAATGCACCGGTGTTGAAAGACAAGGATATCGCCGAGGCCGCTCTCTATGCCCTGGGAACACCCGAAGG